GTTAAATCTCAAAAATAAAAAACATACGATTGTTCGGAATGGAAAGTTATATTGATGTAGCAAGTTTCATGTCCATCCGAAATATATTGAAAAAGTTTATATCAGATGGCCGATTTTTGGGAAGAGCTGACCCGGCGTGAATTGAATGGCAATAGGCACCATGTCATCGTTGTTCCTGAGATATAACAACCCCATAGCCGGTTTGATATAGCGCTTGTCTTCTGGTTTGTTCATTGTTGCCACTCCTTCCAGGATTTTGTAGTCAACGATAAAAATCAGGCCATCCTAAAATAAAATATTAGAAAAGCATAAAAATGCTAGTCCGTTATTGAGAAAAGAAACCAGATTTATGTTTTGATAATGGTTTTTAGGGGACTATAGCTATATAATCGAATGAACAATTCGGGTTACTAAAATATACAATAGGAATTTCATGAAGCAAATGAAAATACAGTGACCAGCCCAGAAAGAGCACAGGCTACATGTAAAACGCGAAGAAGAATTTGTAAAATTATAATTGCTCTAGAGTTTTTTAATTAAATCCAAAACAATAGACACCATTTAAAACTGTTCACATATTAACAAGTTAAGGAATAATAAACTTAAATGTTAATAATAAAATGCAAATAGCTATTTTTTGTATTTAAAATGAAGGATTTGCAACATCAGTAACACAACATTACCTTGATTGCTTTATTCAAATTGTATCCACGGTCCAACAATTTGTCTACCATTTCATTTTTCACAGATATCGATATGTGTTTCAAGTTCAATGAGTGTAGAATGTTTAATGGTATTGAAGAAAAATGAACCTTAGTTTGTGAGATGATATGGCATTGAAGCTTGTCTTTGTGTTGTTTTCTGATGGTGTTTGATACGACGCAGAGTGCCGTTCCGGGCATAAGGCCGTGGCAAGGGTACTAATTTCGCCCGGCTATTTCTACCCTATGAACCATAGTCGCGCGCCCGCGATTATTGAATCGCGGGCGCGTGACTATGGTTCATGTATGTATGTATGTATGGTTGGTCATTTCACTGACCTAAAAAAAATATTGCTGGTTGCCAGGAGTGAAGGAGGCAATAACTTTTAAAAACATTTAAGAAAAGTCGCAAAATCGTTTCACATAATAAATTGGAAAACTTTATTTCAATTTTTAAACCTAGTAAACATTAAGAGTTGATTTAGTATGAGAAATACTAAAGTATAGGGCAAGTTTGTTTTGACTGTTTATAGAAATTTTACAATTTTACATTTCGAAATTTTACATTGTTTAAATTCTTTGTAGAAGCTCGTAATAAAAAGGAAAGCAAATTAAATTCATTAATTAGCTTCGTGCATGATTTCAATTAATTTCATTTTAAAGTGCGAGTAATAAGTTCAAGCTCGAGTTGAAGAGCTTATCAGTAAAAAGCTGTTAATTTCATGGAACATTTAAAAACGTTTTACGAAAGAGTTTCACGATGAATGTTTCATTTATCATTTACAAACCTGGAGCGAGCGGAATTCGGCGAAATATTACCCCAAGTGACGATATTTCCCGAGGGGAAATGTTGACATGTTGTCATGCGTGTTGTCTTGCGTGGTCTACACGAATAATGTTCCACCCCCATGTTCCGCGGGGAACATGGTGTGGAGCACTGTCAAAAAGAACGCAGGCTCGCTAATTGATGTCGTGAGGCGTGATATCGCGATTAATTTCATACTCACGTGCTACAAGCTGAGCCTTCTGTTTGGACAATTTAAAGTTGTGATATAATATTAAAATAAAGCCCACAGAAAGCAAATTAACCTACCTGCTTTATATATTTTAGAAATTTGATAGTCCTATGGTTAAGAGTGTTCAAATTTCATTTACTTTTTGTAGTTTCGTACAAAAAATTAGAAAAAAATATCGTATTGCCATTGCTAACATGACGTTAGCATGCAACCCAAGCTTGCGTTTTGTGTTCGCATAATTACGGATACTTCATGTCGAAAACAGTGTTTGGAAAAGATGTGTACTTCTAGTCTAACGATAATTATGAGGTAATTCCGTGCTTCTGTCCTCCAATTGAATTATCATGGCTCTTAATCATTCAGTGAAAGCACTTGAATTATTATATAAATCACAATGGACAATTTTCAGCCCGATTTTCCGGCCGGGTGAACCTGACTATTTAGCAGACTTTTCCTCACATTTCTCGGCCGAGAATTTCCTCAAATTTCCTAAATTCTCGTGCTCACACGTGAACGCCAGTCGAGGAATCCGAGGAATCAATATATTGGATTTCATTTATTGAAGTAAGTTTCATGTATTTCTATACTTCAGGATGTCCCATCTTTTCTTTAAAATGTGATTTACAACTTATTGTGTGAAATGATATCCAAGCTTTCTGTCATATGTTTTTAATCGTTGCTTCATTCACTCAGGGCAAACAGCCATACTTTTGAGATCAGTAGATGATCACTATGCATAGACTTACGCCCTCGATTATTGATGACATCGCTAATGCTTTCTATTCCCCGAGTATATATAGCCGAGCGGAATTAGTACCCTCGCCACGGGCTCCGGCCTTTCGAGGGCAAGTATGAGGGCAAGTGATTAAACTCCATTTTAAGTAGACAATTTTCAAATGGACATTGAAAATTTCGCATACAACTTTCATCAAAATTGATTTGCATATAACACTGGTCACAGACCAAGTACTGGATAATGCAAACTTTTATAAGAGAACTTTTAAATCTGTCACATTCCTTAAGAATCAAATTGTTGCGGGTTTAAATAATCTACACTATCAAGCAATTTTTCTACATATTTTGAAAAGACGTAACTTCAAACAACTATTCTAATTAGTTTTATATCTTGTTAAACGAATAATGAGAGTTGGAAAGGCCATATTGGTGCAACCTTATTAATTATTTACCGTCAAATTTCAGAAAGAAGCGAAGGCATTAATAACCCATGTCTCTCTGGAAATTATTCTTACCGATTCCTACTCTACAATTACGGCGTCACACCAAAATTACCGTCATTGGTTGCATTTATGAAATTATGCATGAATACAAGATGCTTTGTCTAGAACTATTTTTGAGATTAGTGGCATATAGATGCTTTAAAATTCTTTGATTTCCCTGGATTAGGACACGCCCAAACAGTCCCGATGACCAAAAGATGGTCTTTTTTACTTCATCAGCATTTCATGCATGATTAATGAAATATGTTTAATTTCACGTACAAATTAGAGTTTTGGCTACCGAATCTGGCGCGGTGAGTGTAATATACATTAAATTGTTTGATATTTATGTAGTTGATGAAACGCATTTTAGACTTTACCCCTGTATTGAACAAAATGATTTTTAAAGATTTCACCGCAGCGAATTGCCGAACCGAATAAATTAAAATTCATGTAACTTCATTTCCATCCAGGTGATCTTGATACGCGGAAAAGTACTGGCACTAGTTGTCAAATAGAAATCCATTTTATGATTAAAACAACTGAATATCTCCTGTAATATACTTTATTTCGATTCCATATTTTTGTCAGAGCTATGGTTCTCATAACCAAACATAATTACAAAATTTCAACTAGTTTCATAAAGAATAACGAAAGATATGATTGACTGAATACATCAAAATGGATTTCTATTCGGACAACCCTTTCTGAGCGCTGATTGGCTAAAATACGAACACGAGATCACCTGGATTAGGAATCGTCGTTGAAACTTTGCATGCAACATCGCTTTAGCAATCACGTTTTAAAAATTCATTATTATGCGCAAGCCATTAATATAATGTGGTGTGCCAAATCAAAGCGTTTGCATTCGGGAGCTTAATTTTAGCACTAGTGTGTTAATTAAGTAGTCAGAAACCATTAACAACGCACACCCTCAGAACTTTTCTCAGAAAGTTGTGAATTTCAGTTTTGAGGCGCCATTTTGTACAATAAGTATGTAATTTTACCTTTGCCTTCAAAGACAACCAACTGATGAACAACCCAACGATAGCAAGGGAATTCATACTTCTCGTTTCCACCTTTAAGCTCTTTCTCCACACTAACTTTAGCAATATACCAATCACTTTTCACACCCATGCCATTGTTATTCAATGTAATCATTACAACAGCCCCAACATCATCACCACTCACTTCATAAGTATCGGTTTCACCCTTCTCAAAGTCATTATGAAAGAACTTGTCGAGCGAAAATTTCTTTGTTTCAGCTCCATCTTTACCTGTAAAGGTAAGAGAGCAATATTATTTTATGTCGTCTAGCGCCTCTTCTCGATGAAGTACCATCATAAAGCACTAGCTTTCCCAAATATCGATCAGGGTCGTAACTACAGGGGGGAGGGAGTGTAGCACCCCAAAGTAAAGTCAAGGAAGGGGGAACAATTTCCCCAGAGGGGGCTCCAGCTTCGAAGTGCTGGAATTGCGAAACGTGTTAAATATTAAGGAATATTGTAAAATTAAGTTCGGAAAAGGTATGACAAGGAATTTTTAACCTCCATTATTCCATAAAAAAAATTTGGGACGTGTTATTTTCGCAAGAAAACGTCGATTCCGCCGCCAACGAGATATCTCTCGATATCCATACAAGTTACTTTAGTAACCCATACAAATTCAACTATTCAATCGAAGTTTGATAAATGGTCTCAGAACTTTATTATGGTTTATTTGGCTTGATTTTCGAGAAGTATTCCTATTTTGAATTATATCATTAAATAATTTTAATAACACTAAGTAACAGTCATTTATGAGCATGGTCAATGGACAGGTTTAATCTGCCGACATTATCATTCGATTTTTTCCATCTTTATTCGTTAAGGGCATTTTATGTGAAGAAAGTGTCGGCACAGAAGAATGCAGCCCATGCTTGTAATTTTCCTCTCTCTATATTTCAAATTGCACGGATTTTCAAAATATGTCGTAATCGGTACACATACGTATCTCACATTGCTAGAAAGCTTATTTTCTGTAATTTTGTTAAGGTTACAGAACACCTTTGAGTGTTCATTTTGCCTAAAATTTTTTTATTGGTTTCCATGAAAGCATTAGACTAGTTCTACTATCTGACCAATTTTGAACGAAAAATGTTGAAAACTCGCAGGGTTATTTAATAAAATACATTTCGCTGCAATAAGAAAAACATTGAAAATGTAATATTCAAATTCAATTTCCTCCCGAAAAAGTTTACGGTTAATTACTGATTTTCAAACGAGTTGTGCTCCTGCGGGTTTTAACCAATTTTTCTCAAATTTTCACAAGACATAGCTAAAGACGTCAGTTTCAAAACTGTGTTCGGCTTTTTTTAATTTTGGATATTTTAAAATAAAGAGCAATTCACTCAAACAATTCAGAAATATATTGCAGTCGTCAAAGAAATCGCCATATCAGCGGAATGACGAAACAAACAAAAATTTCCGAATACAATTTTTTAGAACAATTATTTTACTGTATAAAAATGATATTTTCATAAATATAACTTAAAACCAGCAAGAGCACAACTCAAAAGCGTAACGGTATCGCGATTTACGATTTTCCTGAATAATTCTTACATTATTCAATTGTTTGTTAATTTTACAACTTTACCATATGTTGCATGCACTGGAGAACATTTGATCAAAATTTGATGAAAATCGGACTGATATTGAGCGCGCAGTAGCGATTTTCCCCAAAAAGGGTGTCCTGTAACCTTAATGTAGTTATGGACGCCATTTCTTAAAAAATCGTTCTTCTTGAAATGCCTTACGTTTATAGACAATGATTTTATTCGCTTTTGAAACCAATTTTCATTAAAATAACATTATAGTCAATTTACTCGATTCTCACTGGTTACAAACCGTGCCGATAAAAAATTAATCGGCAGGAATTGAATACGAGCCCGCGTGCATTCCACACGCTGACGTGGTGCAAAAATTAACACAAAATCTAAATAAACAACGTGGAAATTGATATTTTCTGAGCTATAATTTTGGAATCAGCTCTTGAACAGCAGGTCGAGAAAGATGTATTTAAAATTTTTATACGATTTTGACAGGTCTGATGAATTAATGTCAGAAAATTACACCTAAATATTAATTGATCACAACGGCGCGTATGGCTCTGCTCACATTTATATTATAATGGTTCTTGTGATAGATTGCTTGTAAACTTGACTATACGACGATATTAATAGGAAGTCACGCTTATTTTCGAAGTATTAATTAAAAATCACACTAAAAATAAAAGTGTCTTGTGTTTGGAGAAATATTGTAATAACGCTAGTGTGACGCAATCGATCGCAGTATTATAAAAATTTCGCAAAACACGCGTGCGATTTTCCATTAAAGCTTCTCGAATCGCATAATTTCATTTACTAATTATATACATGGCATAATTACTACAATCTTATTGTTTAAGAGGAGTGCTATTTTTCTTTCATTGCATTTACGTACCAGATGTGTAAAATAGAAATGATTTGAAAAACAGATCGGCGGTTGAATCGTTTTGTAGGAAATGAAAGTATATATACACAAAACGTCTCAGATCTTTCAATTCGTCTCAGATCCCAGGCTTCAAATCATAGAAATATTAGACCTAGAATGCGTGCTTGGTCACGTGACCGGTATCCAAATTGAAAACAAAAATGCCCTTATAAATCCGCCATGTTGAATTTGAGCAGGAGTGCAAAACTTGCAAACTACAAAGTATAAACAAAGCTAAAACTATAAAGTTTTCATCGTCAAAACGTTTTGTATTTGTAGTTTGGGGATAGAATTTGAAATATTTCGTTCTTTAAAGGCTCAAAGCAAATGTGCTGTTACAAAAACGATGAAAATCGTGCAGCCTTGTAAAAACAAAGTAGTTTCGCGTATAAAATATAATTTACTCATAAAACATTTTTGCATGCTCTAAACGTAACTGTGTTGCTAATATTTTATGAAATTACGAAATGATAGTTCATTCTTCGTCGGGTTTCGTTTTTCTTCAATCTAAACGAAGTGTTTTCATGTTTTTGAAACAAAAATATCTAGTTGTCGATAAAGTGTAAATCGCCTATTAAATAATCGTCGAAAACTATGGTTTCAAAAGTAAAGCGTTGCCTCAAGCTCAAGCAATGTATAGAAAAAAATAAAAAGTAGTTGTGTAAGTTTAAAAAGATTTTTGAACTCCATTTATATTATAAAACAGTTGAAATATCTTTTTTAAAACATACCCGTATTGAGTTTGAGTTTGTCTTGATTTTTCTTGTTTTGTTTTGGCTTGCACAACAACGTTGAAAATGTATTTTCAAACAACGATTTCTGTATATATTCTGTTCCGAACTATTGCTTTTCGTAAAAAAACCCACGGGAATTGATTTCTTTCCTTTAAAAAAGCTTTTTTTCCACTTCAATTCTCGATATAATTGTTTTTGCAAACTTTGTTGAAAAAACAATTCGCGCACTCCTGCAACCGCGCGAATTTTTTGCCGCAGGAGTCTAGGACTAGCCAAAATGCCCTTATAAATCCGCCATTTTGTGGAGACAAAACTTTTACTGAGAAGAGATAGGAGCACGCATTCTATGTCTATTATTTCTATGCTTCAAATACGCTTGGAAATTTCAAATAAATATTTTATTATCTTCACTAAATCATAAACCATTTGTTGTTCAGGAAGACATCTATAGTTATTTCTTGTACATGCATAGATTAGATGTTAAACAAACTATATTTTTTAAAATTAAACCGTTTTTTAACTGTCAAGTGTGTCAGTGTTCCCTGTATTTACAAGGCGAGCGGGAAGGTAAAACATTTCATGCACAAAGCCAAGTCGTGCAATTAATGATTAACATTACTCGTGATTCTTGACAATTAGTACTTTTACACAAGTAAATATAAGAAATCCGAGGTGTTGATTGGTAAAATTTGACGTGAGAGAATATTGTCGGAGAATATTGTCGGAGAATATTAATTCACTTCAACTTCGTCTGGGTGAATATTCGCTCGGAAATCATCTCACCTTCGGCAAATAATTGTTAACAAGACGCTCTACGGAGCCTTAACTCGCTGGGGCTATACAACTACGCACATTACTGTACAATGTACATGATACATACAGTACACAGCTCTTTCAATTGAGATTTAAGGTTTTCCCCGAGCTAAGCAGAAAAGTCGAATACGAGCGCGAAAGGCTTAAAAACATAGTACTAAAATGCGGTAGGCCCTATACAAGTAAAGTTATGTTTAGTACGCTACATTCTTCTTCAAAACTGTCAGCCGCCAGTTAGTCTAGGATTAAACTGCGCTTTAAAACGTTCAGTGAGAAGAAGTGAGACGAATCCACTGTTATACGGTCGAAATAGAG